ATGGCGGGACTTGGCTTTCAGCATATGTCAGAGGTTAGCAGAACGCTAGGATTTAAATCAATCGGGAAGGAGACTTTGTATCGTTACATGAGACGCCCATTCGGGTTGTGGGTGTCTATCATAGTGCCCGGTGAGGAGTGCATGGCAAACGTCAGACGAGACATGCATTTGCGTCAAAAGGCGGGAGACAAGTACATATGCGTAGATGGACGTTGGTCACAGGCTAGAGAGGCGCAGTGGTGCAGTGTCACGTTCATGAAACCACGATCGCGTAAGATATTGTTGAGTGTGACGATTTCAAAAAAAGGACCGGGGAATCATCCACCAAGTTGGAAGAGGTGGCTTTCAGACGTGGCTTAGAGATGCTGAAGGGATGGGGTTCAATGTTACGGGCATTATATCGGACGATGGAGGATCGTTCAAGAGAGTGTTGGAAGCTATGGAAATTTGGAAATAAATTTTCAAAAATTTAAAGATTATGACAAGACTTGATAATGATGATGAAGCAAGGAGTCACTCCTTCCTTATCTCGTGGCAGGTCCACGGACCTGCCACCTAGTCTAATTCATTTGTAGATCTGAATCTACAACCCAACCCTCCCTCCCCCGCAGTACTCCCCATAGAGATATCCAATACGGTATATTTTTATATAGTCATTTTCGTTTAGTAGTATATAAATTATTATTGTAACTTGCAATATATAGTGTGCTGTATGATTAAGATCTCTAATGCTATGACGACTGCTCTGCAGACTCCTTGAAGAGTCTTGTCTTAATACAGGTATTAACCATCAGATGGACATCTGGCACAAATGTCGCGCTCTTACAACCTGTTTGTAAAGCACTTTGTGGAAGCACGCAGTACCATGAAGATGTCTCAGGCCAAAACCTGCTCCGAATTGTGGTTGGTGCAACGGGAAGAGTTGTGGGAATGGCTGACCATGAGCGAAGGGGATCTTGGTCAGATGACGGCGGGTTCAGCGAAAAAAACAATGATTAAAGCTGTTTGCAAAAGGTTAAGCACTGTCAAGTTTGATGCAAAGGCCAAGGCTCCGGCGAAGTGGGTGTTTGAGGAGATGCGGAAGGTACTTAGAGTGAGGACAAAAGGGGTACAACCGCCGGCCAAGCGGCGACGGGTCGCGGAGCAGGACGGGGCGGTCGAAGCGGAGATTGAGGAGAGGGGTGGGAGAGGAGGGAGTGTGGAGGTGCAAACTGAAGCGGAGAGCGGGTTCGGAGGACAAGCGGATGAGGTTGCTAAGGTGTTGGGGATCAAGTAAGGTGATGATGATACTATTTTTTACTTCGATCCGCATCCCACACATGCCGTACGGGAGGGCATTTGCAACAAATACATCCGAGAGGCGACCGAATCTCTACTGAGCAGCGAGTACCCGCCGATTGACATCGAGGAGATGGACGGATGGTTCCCGGATAAGTTGATACCCTATAACTTTCAATATCTATGCTGATTGCAAGATGATTGGGCGTAACATCCCTTTTGACAAACTGTCTCCCTCAAACAGGGGAAGACTGCTCGGGTGGAGTTTTGGCGCCAGAGCTGCAAACGGGAGAGCCTACAAAGGGTGGGGACATACAGGAGGATGGGACATTGGGGAACGGGACGGAGGGACCTGAGAAAAGAGGGCATGAAAGAATGGGTAAAAAACGTGCACGGGGAGATGGGGCTGCATTGAAGGGGACACAGAGAGCAGCGTGGACGAAGTGTCGGTGGTTCAGCGTCTTGGCATTCACTTCCACCACATGATGTTGCGTTGTGCAACTAAAGCAGAAGCGGGTCATCCGATGGAGGCACAGGAGGTTGCAAATGAGATGGCTTTGTGTGCGGATCATTGGGCATGTTTACACACGTGTTGTGCGAAACACCACGTTGCGTCACCGGAAGATGGGGTGAGGAAAGTGCATTGTATGAGACGAGTTCAGAGATGTATGTTGCCTTTAAATAGTGGCTATCCAAGAACTGTGGGCCTGGTTTAATGACGACGTATGTAACAGGGGCTAGCAATTGGGTCAATGAATTGTTCCACTCATTGATCACAAAGTACGCGCCGAAGTGCGTTGCCTTTCTTGGCAGTAGGAGGCTCGGGTGGCATTGACGGCGCTTCATTGGAACCACACGGTAGAAAGGGTTGTGAAAGAGTGGCGTATACATGTTTGCAAAACAACACGGGTGAGACAGGGGAATAAAGACAGGGTGTTGGGGGCAATGGATTGGAGGTGGGTAGATGCGGTCATAGACCGATGGTTGGACATAAGAGAACGGAGGGGGTGGGATTGATTCCAATTGTGGCCAGGAGTTAGTGGTAGAAGAAACGAATGTACACGAGGAAGAGGAGGAGGTGGAGGAGGATGAGGATGAGTGGTTGGCGGTGGAAGTAGAGGGAGCGAGGTAGGAGGGACCAATAGAGGATGAGGTGAGGGTTCACAGTGCGGGCGGAAGCGCTGATGTGGGGTTGCGGGTTGAAGAAGCGGTGTTGTTGACGGAGAGAGGGGCTAGTGGTGCATTTGCGGAGGTGCAGAACTGCGATGTCGGAGGTGCGAAGTTGGGATCAGTGTTTATAGGTGATGGGCTACACATTGGCACATCAACGGTTCGCGAACCGTCCACACCTACGCGAGGGTTGTTTCGCCCACCTTTCGTATCCCCATTTTCACCAGAAACCCCCCCATCCGGCTCATTTGTCTTCACCGCATGTCCAGATTCGTGGGCATGTACGAGACGTCGCACAGTGGACAGAGTACGCACAAGATGGGTTCGGCGTCCCTTATCTCTAGGTTGGTGGTTTTTATGGAGAGTGTGAGGTACACTAAGCTGTAGTTTGAATTCATGGTTAACATTCAGTTCCACTAAAATGTATGTCCTGTGATGTACCTGTCACCTTCCCAGACGAATTATCATGGCGCGGACGTGGATGAGCGTTTTCCATATGACGGTCGCCCCCCGTTTAAACGTCATCGCAAAGTCCCCGCCGGCTTTCTCGCCGTGTACTATGAAATCAACCTATTCATTGATTCATATGGTTTTTCTCTCTACAGTTACTGGGACTACTCTCATGACCTCGGGTTTTAATGTTGTCATGGAGTTTCAGGAGCTTCACAACTCCTCGTGGTACGTTAGCACCACAACTCTTCCATCATCTTCCTTCCCTTTCTCATCCCTACCCTACCCTTCCCTATCATCATTATATCCCCTCCTCTCTGCACACCATCTTCCGGCCCTCTCTGCCAACACCGTCCATCCCCCTCTGTCCTACCTTCCCTCCAACCTTGGGAGAAGGGGGTCAATGGGGGAAGGGAGGAGATATTTTTACCTTGTCTCCAATTTTCTGGTCGCAACGCTTCTGTTTTCCAACCATTCCACCCTATCCGCTTGCGTAACTGACACCATATATGCCATCAGTTCCTTCCCTGCCCTCCCTCGTCACCCTAAACCCTTCCATTGGCTTCCCTCACTAACCTCCCCTGTCAGATATTTCTCGCTTGTTTCCTTATTGAACCTTCAGTTTCCCTTTTTGTTCCCTTCCTTCTCTTACCTTTCCCGGCGATATTCCACCAATGACATATCCTCCCTTCCCCCACTACCATATCCTCCCTACCCCCACTGCCATACCCTCCCTTCCCCCACTGCCATATCCTCCCCTCCCCCACTGCCGTATCCTCCCCTCTCCCATTTGAATATCCTCTCTTCCCCAAGTGTGATATCCTACCTTTCCCCAAACCCATATTCTCTGTTCCCCCAGTTCCACATTGTCCCTATGCCCGATGCCATAGTCCTCCCTATGCCCAGCGCCATATCATTTCACCCCCTGCTCCCTCTCATTTCCCCCCCTTCTCCCTCTCATTTCCCCCCTTTCTCCCTCTCATTTCCCCATCTTCTCCCTCCCATTTTAACCCCTGCGCCCTCTCATTTCCTTCCTATTCCCTCTCATATCCCCACCTGCTCCCACTCATCTCCCATCCCTCTGCTTCCCCGCTTTCCCCCCGTATGCTTCCTCTCTTTTTCACAAGTGCTTCCCCCCAGTTTCCCTCCTCTCCTTGCCCTCGGTCTCCCCCCTCATTGCCCTCTGTTTCCCCCCTCCTTGCCTTCTCTTTCCCACCTCCTTGCTCTCTGTTTCCCCTCTCCGGGCTCTCAGTTTCCCCATTCATGTGCCCCATCGCCCTCATGAGTTCCCTCTCGACCCCCACTTCCTTTCTCCTCCTTTCTCTCTCTTCCCCCTTCTCCTTTCCCTCTCCCCTTTTTTCCTGGCAACTCCATCATGTTGTGCCAATACAGCATGCGATGGATGCATTGTGAAAGTCGGCTACTAGGTGGAGAAGGTTGGCTCGTGCTCACACGACACCTGCTCATGGTGGCGCTGGTTGCACCTCCTTCGTCAACCACCACACCAGCCTCATCCACTTCAAACAGCTCATTCACTCTACCTAGAAGCCCACGCCGACGTTTACACAGAAGACACTCACTGCATGATGGGACACAACAAGGCACCGAGGTTAGATACACGCAAAACACAATGATAAAGGGTGTGTGAGGGTGCAACCCACCTTGGAGAGAGACGTCGCCGGGGTGTGCGTTAGATTGTGGGACGTGCAATGATGCCATCGTGTGGGACTGAGGGGCAACGCACACCTGCGGATGGGAGTGGTGGAGGGATACAGCGGGGAAAGGGCCATGCTGTGGGATTGAATTGGTGGGAAATGTGAGTGCTTATATGTGGCTATAGGGTTGATACATCAGGGGAAGGGTCAAATGTGTGGATGTGGGATTGATACAGAGGGGGTTGTTGAGTGCTGATACGGGGCTGTGGGGTTCATACAATGGGGGAAGGGAGAGTGCTAATATGGTCCAGTGCGATTGAGACAGGGGGGGTGATAGGGGAGTGATCATGTTTGGGGCAGTGGGGTTGATGTCGTGGGAAGGGGGAGTGCTAGAGATGGGGAAGGGAAGTGCCGGCGACGGGGTGCTAGCGACGGGGAGGGTGAGAGCTAGCGAGTGGGCTGGGGAGAGAACGCGACGAGGAAGGGGAGTGATAGTGACGGGGAAGGGGAGTGGTCGCGAGGGGGGAGGGGAGTGATAGTGACGGGGAGGGAGTGATAGCGACGGGGGAGGGGAGTGCTAGCGGTGGGGAAAGGGAGAGCTATCGAGGGGGAAAGGGAGAGATAGCAACGAGGAAGGGGAGTGCTTGCGAAGGGGAAGGGGAGGGCGTGCGTGAGGATGGACGTGCACGCTAGAAAGGGGGAAGGGGAGAGAAAGCGACGAGGAAGGGGAGTGATAGTGACGAGGGAAAGGGGGAGATAGCATCGGGGAAGGGGAGTGATAGTGACGGGGAGGGAGTGATAGCGACGGAGGAGGGGAGTGCTAGAATTGCGGAAAATGAGAGCTATCGAGGGGGAAGGGAGAGATAGCGACGGGGAAGGGGAGTGCTTGCGAAGGGGAAGGGGAGGGCGTGCGTGGGGGGGGGAATGTGCACGCGAGCGAGGGGGAAGGGGAGAGAACGCGACGAGGAAGGGGAGTGATAGTGACGGGGGAAGGGGAGGGTGCGCATGGGGGGGGGGACGTGCACGCCAGTGAGGGGGAAGGGGAGAGAACGCGGCAGCGAAGGGGAGTGACAGTGACGGGGAAGGGGAGTGGTCGTTAGGGGGAAGGGGAGTGATAGTGACGGGAAGGGAGTGATGGCGACGGGCCCGGGGAGTGCTAGCGGTGGGGAAAGGGAGAGCTATCGAGGGGGAAAGGGAGAAATAGCGACGGGGAAGGGGAGTGCTTGCGAAGGGGAAGGGGAGGGCGTGCGTGGGGGTGGACGGGCACGCTAGCGAGGGGGAAGGGGAGAGAAAGTGATGAGGAAGGGGAGTGATAGTGACGGGGGAAGGGGACGGCGCGCATGGGGGGGGAACGTGCACGCAAGCGAGGGGGAAAGGGAGACTCGGGGAGTGACAGTCACGGGGAAGGGTAATGGTCGCGAGGGGGAAGGGGAGTGATAGTGACGGGGAGGGAGTGATAGGGACGGGGGAGAGGAGTGCTAGCAGCGGGGAAAGGGGGAGCTATTGATGGGGAAGGGCAGTGATAGCGATTGGAAAGGGAGTGCTTGCGACGTGGGAGTGATAGGGAGGAGGGGGGGAGTGAACGCGACAGGGAAGGGGAGTGATAGCGTGGGGAAAAGGGAGAAATAGAGACGGGGTAGGGGACCGCGGGCGATGGGGAAGGGGAGCGCTCGCGAGGGGGAGGGGGAGGGCGCGCATGGGGGGAAACGGGCACGCTAGCGAGGGGGAAGGGGAGAGAACGCGACGGGGAAGGGGAGTGATTACAAACTGGAAATGGGAGTTGCGACTGTGGGGAAGCGCGGATGGCGACGGTGGGGAATAGGAGAGTGAGACCGGGGGAGAACGATGATGGCGACCGTGGGGAAGGGGGTGCGATACCGTGGAGGCCAATGCGCGGGAAGTAGTGGGGGAGGCGGGTGTGGTACCGTGTGCGATTCGCGCGCGCCTATTTTACTCACGCGCAGTTTCCACGGCGCCTCGATCCGCAACAAAATCGGAGGAATCCGCCATTCCACTTGCGATGTGCCCATTATCCGCATGACCCGGCATTGGAGATTCTGTGGCTAGATGTGAGTGGAGCTTTTCACGATCGAATGAGCCGTAATGACGGTTTGTTACTCTACCCCTTGAAGGGGCTGGTGTGGATGACGATGTGCTGGAGGGGAATGACAACTCTCGAAATTGTGTGTTCCGTTTCCGTCGTCTGGGTTTGTCGCAGGGAGTGTCAAACCTGACGAACCTGTTTGCAATGGTTTGGGTGTGTCAACAGGTTAGGCCGGTAGGTTTGGTGTTGAGGGTACAGTGTTTAGGTTTCGCCCAAATCACCCCTCCTCTCGTGCAGAATTTCGCTGCTCGTGCACCAGGTGCCACCTCCCAACCAAGTGTAATACGGTAGAAATTTTGAGACGCGGATTTTAAACTTCACATGGTATTCAGAGCCTAATCCTAGGCGTTTCCTTCTAATTTACATCTCCTAATACATTTCGACCCCTTAAGGCTATCTCGCGTCACTTCCTAGATAGTCGATTTTTCGTTGTTGTTTTTTTTTTTTTTTTTTTTTTTTTTTTTTTTAGATTTCTTCTCATCTAAACGTCTCGGATCTGCCCTAGGCTGCAGCGCGTCACCCCTCGATCGTCGCGCGACCCGCCTATCGTATGCCTGCATCCCTCCCTTAGCGTCGCGCCACCCACTTCGCACCCGCGCGCGCGCGCTCTTTTCTGACGTACGCGCGCGGCCCTACTGTGGTCGCGCGCGACCGGGGTGTCCTAGCCGCGCGCACCCTTTTCCCCCGTGGCGCGCCCCATTCGTCGTCCCCGTACGCCTCCTCACGCTCTACCACATGCCATCGACCTACCCCTCTGCACAATCCGCCCCTTTACCCTCCTCCTCCTCTCCTCTCTCCCTTCCTTCCCCTCCCATTGTCACTCTTCCCTCCGACTCTCTCCTCTCCTCAACTACTGCAGCCGGTCGCCACCCTTGTTCCATAGCTTTGCTCATCAACACATTCCCTTTCACACAATCCGCTGTTAGAATGTAGAACTGAACGAGAATGATGAAACTAGGAATGATGGGGATACAAGTAGGAAACCCTAGCAAAGTTGTACCCCCTAAGGCTAAACCCACTATAGCCTACACAATATAAACATATAATGTGTGACACACCCCCATAGGCTAAGTGGGAGACAACCAGATGGTCACAAGACCAGTCACAGCAAAGCAAAGCAAGCTCAGGGTGGATCTCAGGGAAACCACACAAATTCTGAGCACAAGCAAGTGGTCACAAGACCAGTTCACATGCAGGTTGATAATAAAACAAGAGATACAGTGATCACAACCTAGCAAGAGCAGGCATGCAGGTATATATATAGAGATCACAGTACAAGCAGAGTCAAGAAGTAAGCAAGTGAGGACCAGTAGGCACAAGGCCTAGAACAGTACAGAAGCGCTGATGGTCACAAGGCTGAAGCGCCTTGGTGAACACATCAGCAGTGTTGGCCCGAGTGGCCACGTAACGCAGACAAAGCTGACCGCGCTGCTGCAGCTCTCGAGCAAGGAAGTACCGCAGAGCGATATGCTTCGTTCTGTGCTCCAGTCTGTGCTCCTCACACAAGGCAATGGCAGCCTTGTTGTCGACATACAGCACTGGAGGAGAACGAGGCCGCTCTCCCAAGTCGGTCAGCAGGTAGGTGAGCCAGCGTAACTCCTGTGCAGCCATGGCTGTGGCGTAGATCTCAGCCTCACAACTGGAGCTGAGAACAGAAGACGAGCGTGTAGAACGCCAAGAAACTGAACCAGAGCCAATGCTGAAGGTGTAACCCTGAGACGACCGCTGAGTAGCCTGGTCGTCAGCCCAAGAAGCGTCTGAGTGCCCAGTGAGTACAACTCGGTCTCGTCCTCCAAGCACTAGCCCCATGCCCGACGTACTGCACAAGTAGCACAACACCCTCTTAGCGGCATCCATGTGCTCCTTCCGGTGACGGCCAGGAGCGACATAGCGTGCAAGGATGCTAAGAGGGTATGCAAGGTCAGGTCGAGTGCAGGTCATCAGGTACATGAGGCAGCCCACAAGCTCTGGATACGGGCCACTCGGCTCTACGGACTCATCCGAAGGCAGAGCTGAGAGCGAGTGACCGGTAGGCAGAGGAGTGGCCTGAGGCGAGGAGTACGTGAAACGGAAGCGCTGAAGGACCTGCTGCACCATGTGTGACTGAGTCAAGGTGATGGTGCGCCGTGCTCTGTCCCGGGTGATCCGCAAGCCAAGATAGCTTGTCAGTTCACCCAAGTCTGTGCACGTGTGTCTGTTCTGCAGCTCCCACTTCACGTGGGCGAGTGCCGCAGTGTCAGCGGTGGCAAAGACCAAGTCGTCGACGTACACGAGGATGTAGAACGGCGGCAGTGAAGTGTCGGTGCGTAGAAACAGCGACGGGTCAGCAGTAGAAGGAGCGAACCCAAGAGCCGCAAGTGTAGTCCTCAGTGTGTCGTGCCACTCACGCGGCGCCTGGCGGAGACCGTAGACTGGCCGCCGGAGACTCCACTGGGTACCAGGAGGGAACGACCCAGTGAAGCCAGGTGGGCGGCGCAGCCAGATCTCCTCGTGCAGGCTGCCCTGCAAGAAAGCTGTGCTGAAGTCAAGAGAGTGGAGCTCGTAGTCACGCTGAGCGGCGACGTGCAGCAGAACCCGAAGAGTGGTCATCTTCGGGGTCGGGGAGAAGGTTTGGAAGAAGTCAACTCCCTCTCGCTGACTGAAGCCTCGTGCAACGTAACGCGCCTTGAAGACAGGCGGAGAACCCGGCGGCCGCTTCACCCTGAAAATCCACATGCCACTGACGATGTTCGCCCCAGGTGGGGGAACCTCGTCGACGTAGGTGCCTGTGGATTTCCAAGAAGCCATCTCTGCGTCCATGGCTGTCTGCCACTGAGAGGAGTACTCACCCGCGATCGCCTCAGCGTAAGAGCGCGGGGTCGGGATGTCTGGAGCATCCGGGTCTCCCTCAGGGGCAACCAGCATGGATACGAGATGAGGTAAAGCAGCGGCAAAGCACTCAAACTCCTCCTGCCTGTCCTCAAGGACGTCCGTGCCAAGAGCACACTCACCCCCGACGGACGGAGGACAGACAGACTCAGACTCAGACTCAGCGACAAGGCTAGCGGCATAGTCTAGACGACAAGTGGCAGCAAAGTCAACTAACTCAGAGACTAGAGCAGACGCAGCAGAGGACTCAAAGGAAGGGTCAGTGACAACAGTGGCGAGGAGACGCGTGACAGTAGGACTGGCAGCACGAAGGGAGTCAGACTCCGGGTCAGCAAGAGCAGGAAGAGAGGACGCAGGAGGAGACGGCAGGGGGACGCGCTGAGGAGCAGAGGAAGGACGAAGCGCCATCTGGTGAGTGCCTGGGACTGCAGGAGGACGCTGACGAGGGACACGACGACCAGAGTGAGCAGCACGAACAGGCGACGCACGACGAGACTCGGGCGACGCAGGACAAGACTCAGGCTCACGACGCTCTGTAAGACCTCCAGTCGGACCAGTGTAAGGAGAAGTACCAGGGAGTGGTAAGGCAGGAGGTAACTGTGACTGCAACTGGACTGGCGGAAGACACTCTAAGGAGGGAGCAGGACAAGGAGGAGGCAACTGACCAAGAACCTGCTGAAGGAGCGGAACGAAGTACGGCTGCGGCCGCGTAGCGCCGCCAGAACCAGCAGAGAGACCACCAGTAGCCTCAGCTCCAGTGTCTCCAGCTACAGCGCCCGCAGGACCACGAGTAGCTCCAGCAGCGCCAGCACCAGCACCAGCTCCAACTCCAGGGTCCCCAGCACCAGCGGCAGCTCCAACTCCAGGGTCCTCAGCACCAGCAGCAGCTCCAACTCCAGGGTCCGCAGCACCAGCAGCAGCTCCAACTCCAGGGTCCGCAGCACCAGCAGTAGCTCCAACTCCAGGGTCCGTAGCACCGGCAGCAGCTCCAACTCCAGGGTCCGCAGCACCAGCAGCAGCTCCAACGCCCGGGTCCGCAGCACCAGCAGCAGCTCCAGCTCCAGGGTCCTCAGCACCAGCAGTAGCTCCAACTCCAGGGTCCCCAGCACCAGCAGCGCCACTCCGGAGACTGCAGCGCCAAGCGTACCACTCTCGGAGTCGCTGGGGAGAGGGTAGCTCCCGCCGAGGCGGGGAACCAGCACCTCCAGCAGCGCCAGCAGCACCGCCAGCAGCAGCAGCACCTCCAGCAGCTCCAGCAGGACCAGCACCAGCAGCACCTCCAGCAGCGCCAGCAGCACCGCCAGCACCAGCAGTACCTCCAGCAGCACCAGCACCAGCAGCACCTCCAGCAGCACCAGCAGCACCGCCAGCAGCAGCAGCACCTCCAGCAGCTCCAGCAGTACCAGCACCAGCAGCACCTCCAGCAGCGCCAGCAGCACCGCCAGCAGCAGCAGCACCTCCAGCACTAGGGTCCGTGACACTAGGAGCGCCACTCCGGAGACTGCAGCGCCGAGCGTACCACTCTCGGAGCCGCTGGGGAGAGGGCAGCTCCCGCCTAGGAGGGGAAGCACTAGCACCAGCGCCAGTAGCACTCCTAGCTCTAGAAGCACTCCTCCTGAGGCTGCAGTACTCTAAGTACCACTCACGTAGCTGCTGCGAGGAGAGAGCTCCTCCAGGTGTAGCACGCTCAGTCTCAGCACCCTCAGGCGCAGTACCCTCAGACGTAGCACTCCCAGGCTCAGCACCCCCAGACTCAGCACCCGCAGGCTCCGCACCCCCAGGCGCAGCACCCCCAGACTCCGCAACCCCAGGCTCCGCACCCCCAGGCTCCGCACCCTCAGACTCCGCAACCCCAGGCTCCGCACCCCCAGGCTCCGCACCCCCAGGCTCCGCACGCTCAGGCTCAGCACCCCTAGCAGGACGAGAGTCGACAGCTACCTCGACAGGCTCAACCGGGTCTACCTGGGACACACCTGAGGGAGCGGCACCCTGAGGGGGGAGGGGGTCTACCACAGCAGCACCTGGCGCGAGGAAGAGAGGCGGGGGGGGGAGCGGGGCAGTGCGGTAGGGGAAGAGG